TTGGCAAATAATGATTTTACTGTGCTATAATTTAAAATAATCTTTTGCGGTGAATAAACGACTGGGCGGAATAACAACTTTCTTCAAAATGAACGGAAGAAAACGATAATGGTCGATACAAGAGTACGACTATTTCTCCTTAAGACGATAACATCCCGCACTGGTGCTAACGGTCTTCCGACACTAGCCTCCCAAAGTACAACGACCTCGACTTGTAATAGTAGCACTCCAAATTACAAGACTCGACGAACCTACTAATATTTTTTATCTCTCTAAAAAAAATTGAAGGACTAAAATGCACGAAAATAATACTCGAGACTACAATGTACATAATGAAATAATACAGGAAGGATTATATTTTGCAAGACAGAAAACCGGAAAGATTTTGGAAATGAATAAATTCCGAGGTATGGGGACCTTTAAATATATACCAACTTGGTCCCCAAGTTCAAGACCTGTACCCATGATGTAAAGGTGTCAAGACGGACGGGCCGGCCAGACCCACGAAAATCGGCTCGGATCAACCCGGGACCTCGGGCCGACCCGTGATCCGAGCGGGCGGTTCACGGGTCAAGGAAGTGTGACCGCGGGCTTCACGAGTTGCACCATCACGGGCCGCGATTAACTTACTCGCTCGTGAAAAAAATTTAAAAATTTGAAAAAAAGTAGGTACCAACCTAGTTGGGATGTACTTATGTTATAAATATTTGATAATAGTCATTANGCTGGCTCGTGAAAAAAAAATTTAAAAATTGAAAAAAAGTATGTACCAACGTAGTTGGGATATACTTATGTTATAAATATTTGATAATAGTAATTAGAAATGCATTTAGTTGTTATTTTTTAAGTTAAATTTAATTTTGCAAAGTTATAAATAATTCATGTAACATTAAATTTGAATTCTATGTAAACATATATTGGTATAAATATGAATTTATCATTTTGTTCAATTCTTAATTTACATTTTAAAAAAAATATTTTTCGCTATAAATATAAAAGATTCTATATTTTTATAATTTTATTTATACAATAATACGGGCCAAATCGGAACAAACGAAGACCCGTGGCCCTCATGGGCTCGACTCGGATGGGTCAGCGGGTGGGCTTGGGTTGTAGTCCAAAATTTGTGGGCCGACCCGGAATCTACCTGGAACCCGTAGCGGGTGAGCTTTTTTCACGCGGGCTGTTACCGGGCTCATATGTTGGCGGGCCGACCCAACCCGGACCACCCGAATTGACACCTCTGCCGTGATGTGCCAAGCTGGTCAGACGGCGACGTGTGTGTGGATTTTGGTTCAACCTACTATACCAACTTGGCCTCAATCCAAGATCCATGTCTGTGCCGAGCCGGACGAAGGCGCTCGCATGTGGGTCTTGGCTCAACCTACTAGCATGTAGGTCATCTCGCCTTCAAAAATTATTGATATCCCTTGGGGTCCAAACTCAAGTCCCAACTTGAGCAATATAAAGTGGATTTTATTTCTAGTTTTCCTATATGAGATTGTCATTTTTTTAATTTCCCACCAAATTTATTTGAACTTCAAATGGTCATCTTTTGGTCTTACTTTTTCCTCCACCCTAAATTGATTTTGAGAAAATAAATACATTACATTAATCAACTCATGGAGTGCTAGAACATACTCAGCCAAAGAAATCTTTTTTCAAATTAATGGGATCCACTAAAATAATTGGTCAAAAGTTGGTCAACCCAACTAACTAAAACCAATTTTCTAACCGCTCTTCGCATACCATGTTTGAAACTTTCGTTGGTATAATATAATCCTGAGTATGATATCTTCAAAGTATATACCTTTGTAAGTCTTTAGTTGTCAATAAATAAATTTTCTATGCATTGTTCTCATGTTGTATTCAAGTGGTCTTATCATTATGACATCATAGATTTAATAAAATCAATTTATTATTTATTAAGATTTTTTAAGGAAAAAATAAAGATTGACTTACACCGTATCTCTGGAGGCCAAGTAGTAGGAGAGTACTCAAACCAGTACAAAGAACTCCAACCCAAATTGGGATGTGGAACAATATGTTTAGTGCAAATGCCGTCCCAATCACTGTTAAAATTCTTTAGTTAGTCGAGACTATACTAGCTCAAAGGAAATTCATTTATCGGCTTATAATACAAGAAAAAATCCTCGTATATGTTTGTACACCCGTGCATTGACTTACGCTACAAGAAACAATCGTCATATATGAAAAAATGCACGTTTGGGGGTACGGGATAGTACCTTCAGGAATGTCAGCTGCTATGACAGCAATCTCAGCTAGTATCCATAAACAGTATCGGACATATTGGGGGTACTCAGCCTTGCACAGTTCTGAGAGGTGTTTACCTGAAAATTAAGCAAAAAAACCAAACCCCGTTAATTAATATTAAAAACTTTAAAATGACCATTAATTTCGTAATTATGTAACTCAAGAATTTAGGTACAGGTTTTTGCCATCATTACCCGTGCTTACGCCAAGATTAGCTGCAAGTGATTGTATAACTAGAGCGAAGATTAATCCGATAAGTATCACCCAAAGTAGCTGATTATTGCAAATAATTAAATATTACTACTAGTAAAGAATACACAGAGAGAGAGAGAGAGA